AGAGCGATGGAAGACAATTGAGGCAGCTCATCAGTGCTTTTTCTGCGTTCCAAGAAAAGATGGAAGCTGGCCAAACATCTTTTAAAGAAGAGATGAAAGATCCTGTTAAAGAAGAGATAAAATCCGTTAAAAAGGAGATGAAATCTAGTCATGAAAAGATTGAAGCAGGAAAACAAAAGATTGAAACAGGTCAAGAAGAGATGAAAAGAGAGATTACCTGCATAATAGAAAATAAATTTGAAGCTATGGAAGAAAGAATTGACACAGTTGAAAATAAAGTTGGACAAATTGGAGAAAAAGTTTCTTCCGTAAAGATCAAATTGAAGAAAGAGTTTCTTCGGTGAAAGAAGGAATAGAAGAAAGAGTTTCTTCTGTAAAAGAACATATAGAAAGGAGAGTTTCTGCTGTGGAGGAACGAATTGAAGAAAGAGTTTGTGCCGTCCAACACCAAATCGAACAACAAATTGATGATAGGGTTTCTGCAGTAGCCAAAGAAGTGGATATTTTAAAGAAATTCGTAGCGACGGCAGGGAACTATAGTAATGATTTTAAATTTTTACCCATGCCTGCTCGTCCCTCTCTGAAGTTATCTACATATGATGGCAAGTCCTCCTGGCAAGTGTGTAAGACACAATTTTCTATCGTTGCGGATGCGAATGGATAGGATTCCCAAGCTAAGGTCTGTCATCTCGCCGCTTCTCTGAGAGCAGACGCCGCGGATATCCTGCAGACGCTTCCTGAAAATCAGAGACTAGATTTTGAAGCTCTATCCGGCGCTTTGGGAAAAAGTGTTTGAAAGACTACAGCAGGCTTCAACTAAAATCCCGTCAACAGAAGCCCACCGAAACACTTCAGGAGCTCTCCACGGATGTTGAAAGGCTGTCACATCACGTCTTTTCGGAGTGCCCGACAGAAACAAGAGAAATCCTCTCGCTGCAATATTTCATCGATGGCATCCGGGACCCTGAAATACAGAAAGCACTGCGAATGGTGGATTTTAAGGACATAAAAAGCGCTCTTTTGTACTCCATGAAGTTCGAGGCAGCCCAGCAAGCAACTCGCAGAGATCGCTACCCAGTCAGAGCAATGCGAGTCCACGAGCCAGTGAATCAATTGATGGCTCGTTTAGATGATTTATCCAGACAAGTCGACGATTTGATACGGAGTAGGAGGGAGAACAAAGTGGCTCTAATGTGTTGGATATGTGGTAGTAAAGGTCACCTACGACGGAAATGCAGAACACTCCGACGTACGGAAAATAAAACAGATGATTTTACCAGACAAGTCAGTGGCTTGAGACGGAACAGAAGTGAAAAGAAACCAGTTCTAAAGCGTGGGAATTGCGGTGTTGAAGGCCAAGTGCGAAGGAACTGCAGAACTCCCCAGAGCACGGAAAATAAGACAGACGAGTTGAACAGACAATTAAATGCCATCGGACGAAAAAGGAGTGACAAGAAACCAAAATGCTGGAACTGTGGAACTGAAGGCCACGTACGAAAGAACTGCAGAGCACCCCGAAGCACGGAAATTGAGACCATTTCCCAGTAACGACGGAGGAAACAAATGAATGACCATATCGAGGAACGGAGGTTGCCAGAGAATTTAAAACCTTGTTTTAAAGCCCTCAAGATTTCTACAGTGAGTGGCACAATAACGGACTGTCATCAAGGGCATATCGATGGAGTTCCTTGCAATATGATCATTGACACAGGAGCTAATGTTACCATCATTCGGAGAGATTTAGCTCAACAGTTTAAAGATAAACTTATTGGACGCCATCCTATTACCCTTCAGACTGCGTCTGGTGACAAGGTCGACATAACTGGGAAAGTTAAACGTGAACATCACGTTTGGAAGTGCCGCCTACCATTACACGGCATGTGGCGGATATTACAGATCCATGCATACTCGGATTGGATTTTTAAGGAAATACAATTTTTCCTTGGACTTCAAAAACAACAAACTGCTTTCAGAATCTGAGGACATGGACTATCCATCCTCAAAAGGGATCCTCGCCTGGAAATGTCCGACGTCTCATGTCCGAAAAACCCTACTCAGAAAGCTGCCGAAATCATACTAAGGTCAAGAAGAAACGCAAGACTGCCAGCTATTCTCCAATCCCAGAAGATCTTTGGTCGAGACCTTCGTCTGTCTTTGGTAACTGCCTATTTGGTCACCCTACGGATGCGGCCTTCATCGCCTGAGGAATGTATTCAAGATCTCCAGGCCCGTTTTGAAGTGATGCACTCTTCCGCACGAAAGCGGGTGAACTTGGCGACGGAGAAAGTGAAGTCCAGATACAACACGAGAGCTACTGGACATAGATCCAACAAAGGAGACAAGGTGTGGTTGTGGAACCCAATTCGACGAAAAGGAGTCAGGCCTAAATTTAAATCCCAGTCACCTTGGGATGGTCCGCACACAGTCCTAAACAGGCTGAATGACGTAGTGGTTCGGATCCGTGAATCTTCGAACTCTAAACCTAAAGTCGCTTTTTACGACACGTTAGCTCATTACTATGGCCATAGTACGTAATGTAAATAATTGTAAATAGTGTAAGACCATGGTACTTTTTGTTTATAATGTGTATTTGTTTTGACTTATATTTAGTATTTGATTTGCATTTAGTATTTGATTTGTATTTAGTATTTATTTGGTATTTAGTATTTGATAGCATTTGATTTGTTTAAGTTAGTTATTGTATTTATTGTTCATGTTGTTTGATATTGTAATGTAATGTTTATGACTCAGTTATAAGTTTGACTTCCTGTCCAGGGATTGTACTGCCCGGGACGTGCAGTCCTCCGAAAGGGGGCAGTGTTACGGATTTGGTATTTAAATAGCTTATGTTAGTTGAATTGTAAATTAAATGGTTTTATTTCCCGCGCAGTGTAGCGCGTGACGAATATTAAAGGAAAGCTAAGCCCGAAAATTGAAATACAAGAGCGCGTGCATGTACATTTAATATCTCTTTTGATTTCGAGAAAGTACTCGAAAATTCTCGCGCACGATTTTTTAAAATCTTATAAAAGGAGGAAAACCTCTCGTTCGTAGTAGTTACTTAGTTTGTTGTTGTTTAGAAAACTGCTCTTGTTGACTGTAGCGAATTCGCGGATTAACTTTTCTAGCGTTTCTTTTGAATTTGAGTAGTTAAAGATAACTACTGTGGGATATTGTAAAACTGAAAGAAATTTGAGGGAATTAAGCATTTTTGTGATAATAATAAATTTTTTTTTGTTCATTTTTCATCGGACTTGTGCATTCATTTCGTAACGAATCCGTACGCACGCAACAATATTTTATTCACTTTTAGTCCAAAGGGCAATTTGCCCTGATGGACTATTATTTTCGTTTTGGCATTTTATGTTGGTTCACTATATATGTCCGATTCACTTTCCAAATTGTTGCCACCACATATTATCGCCCTGTATTATATTTAAAGAAATTAAATAACGAAGATTCACCTTAAATGTATACATATGTTTCTCGCATTGTGATAAAACAACGGTACCTTGAGCCATTCAATTTTGAATAACGTACGTTTACACCCGAATATGGGCATCTGGAAGATCAAATTTGGAATTTGGAATGTGTTTTATTATCTACTAGCAGCTACTCAGAAAGCCTTCGTCTGGCTTTTAAATGTGCCGGGAAAATGCCTAAAGGGAACACCAAACGCTAAATTTAAAAACTGCGCAGAATTTTACTCTGCAAAACAATTTCATCATCACAAAAAAAAACCCTCATAAATTTGAATAAAAAATGTATTACATATAACAGAATTACAACGAAATAAGCAATATCCTTTAATACGAATATTAATTATCCTAATAAATAAATTAACCTACTTCCCGTTGCCTTTTCTCAACAAACGTCCAGTATTCCAAGTGGCAACAGTGCTGATTTTCAACAGTCAACAGTCCAGTATACAATTGAATGAAAAACTGTTGCCCAAACCACGTTTCTAAAAGAATCAAACAATTCAAAATGATGCGATAAAATCGAAAAGATAAAATTTAAAAAAATCTAATTCAAATTTTGAAAAAAAATCGCTTCGAGGTGCACTGGCTCTTGTCTAGATGCACCTAGATACCAAATTTTGTGGCCCTGAGTCTATTAGCTTACTCCGCAGCATGGACGAAAGACACACAGACTCTTTCTTTTTTATAATATGTAGAGATTTCATTTTTTGTAAAACTTTAACGAATTTTGATTAACAAACTAACGATTTAAAAACGAGCAATGGCAACATTCTACTCTTTATCTCCAGCACGCTAGACTATGTATCGGAAATTCTATAGATATGCTCATTTTAAAATTATTTTGGGATATTGCTGTGGAATTGAATTTTATGGTTTAAGTGCGAAGAACATGATATTTAATAAATAAAGGTAAAACACAAAACGTTAAAAAAAGCACCCCTTTGGACGTAATTTATTTATTTATTTTTACTGAATTTTTAAGTTTTTCCCCATTCCTTTGATTGGATTGATATAACAGGCTAAACCCAGAGTAATAGTGGCTCGGAATTAAAAAAGCTTTTATTTTTTGGCTGCGTATAGATGTTTATCTATATGGAAAAATAAATTCCTTTAGTTAAAAATAAATATATTTTATTTCAATATTATGATTACTTCTTCATTTCTATCTACAGGCACGGATATATGATATTTATATATTCAAATATGAAAGCTAATGCATGGGAAAGAGGTATTATTTAGAACTAAAAATTGAAACTGAACTAAAGGTGAGTATCTTAGTAGTGCCCGCTTTAATCGACTCATTATGCAAGACGTTCCGAATACGATCTACATAGCTTCCTGTTTAGAAGATATTTACGTCACAGTCATTTTTCTTTTGTTTGATCGTTTGAAGCGGCCGGGCTCTGTTGATAAACCGATAATGAATTTCAAAACGCCTTATCGCAGAAAGTGAATGATATGCAGCAACTCACTTTTGCCTTCATCTCATTTCACTGCCTTCTTATCTCATTACAATCGATTACGGTCAAAGTTTAAAAGTATTGCATTTTAACTCTTCAGAAACTAAGACGCTCTTGTGAAAAGATATACAAATGTCCGCTAAGAGCTGTCTTGTGTGTATAACTCATTGGGTACTTTTTGGCCTGTGTTTGAAAATATTGGGTTTTATTTTGCCATCCTCCATTACCTGTTATTACACATGCACAGCAAATACATTGCTGTATTGTCTTCTTGCCGGATGGACGTATCACTTCACGAAGAAGAGATATCTAGGAGGTAGAATACAACCAGAAAATAAAGCTGTCTTAATTACAGGTAAGCTGTTTCTCTCGTTAACTATCGTGCCTAAATTTTGCAATAAAAATTCTTGAATTTTTTCATTTTTTTACTCTCACATTGCTCGTATACCTTTATTGCTAAGATACAAAACTACAGCAACAATACAAATATCTGAATTTCATTTAATTCAGGTGTCTCCGAAGTCGTCGATGTAGACCCCCCAGGAGTCGATGGAAAGAATAAAGTAAAAAATCCCCCTTACACTAAACTACCGATTAAAAAGAATAGCATCAGGATGACGCCCACAGATAACCTCACTTTAATCAGATAGAAATTAAAATATAAGAATAAATAAAAAAAAAAAAAAAAAAAAAAAAACCTAAAAGCTTTCAGATTTTAGATTACGCCCAAAGGGGCGTTTTTTTAGCGTTTTGTGTGTTAACTTTATTTATTAAATATCATGTTCTTTGCACTTAAACCATAAAATTCAATTCAATAGCAATATCACAAAATATTTGAAAGAGTACATCTTTAGATCGCGAGCTGGAGATAATTTTTTTTTAGTAGTATTTTATTTCCGTACAGTGTTGCCATTGATCGTTTTATAATCGTCGAGCTTCTTAATCAAATACTCATAAATGCTTTACAAAATGCGAAGTAGATAATAAAACAAATTCCAAATTTATTCTTCCAGATGCCCACATTCGAGTGGAGACGTACGTTATTGAAAATTTGATGGCTCTAGATACCGTTCTTTTATCACAATGCTAGAAACATACATACATTTATACAGTTTCTTCATTATCTAATTTCTTTAAATATAATACAGGGCTATAATATTTGGTGGCACCACATAACTTCCTTGTACAGCATATTAAATTATAGGCATTTTTCTTGCATTTTATTTAAACTTATTGGATTGAATTAAGTTTACTTCGTCGATAGCGCATACGAAGCAATAGAATAAATGCACTCTTTAAAATTCACTATATTTGTTTGCCATAGCAACACTCTGGCGCTAGGTTCACTTAACAGTGTTATATTTCGTTCATCTTATAACTCGGAATGCACAAAACTTATATCATTTGAAGAATTATCTAATCGTTGCCACATGTTCTATTCATATACTATAATAAATCTACAATGATGTTTAAAAGAAATTAAGCAAACAAACGAAAAAAAAAAAAAAAAAAAGGAACAGTTTTTCGCAGACGATTCAGTATTTCTCACTCAATTAATTCAGTTCTCACTTCGCGACATGGCAAAAATACATAAAAACTCAAATATCTATATTAAAAATTACGAAGTAAATCTTAAACTCTTATTTCCTCTAAAAAATTCCAGAAAGGATTAAGCATGATTTAATTCGCAATAATAAATGAAGGCGTTATCTTTGTTGTTGCGAAGCTTAGTCTCTCTAGATTAGCAACAAATCTACTATTCTGCTGTTTCAAATGTAAATAAATATGGCCGCCATGTCATTTAAAAATTAGGCTTAACCGCACTTAAACAGCTTTTAAATTGCTAAAAATTCTACAAATATTGCTTGCAGATTTCCTAAAGGCATAAAAATCTTAACCGGAAGATAAGAACAACATAATTCAATAATTTTTAAAGCAAAAAATGCACAATTTATAAACATATAAGAGTAAAGAAACTGACATCACTGAGCCGGGTAACAGAGTGGATATATATATAAATATATTTATATACGTTTGATACGGCAGATTGCAACCAAAATACGAGGTACACATCTACATGTTAGAGCAGCTCTATATACAAAATTTCAACGTTTTGGGGTACTCGTTTTTGAGTTATGCGAGATACATACGTACGTACAGACACAACGAAAAATTCTCTTCAGAATTCATTTTAAAGCAGTTTTATAATTTTTTTGGAGGAAAAGAGTCTTTTATTCTGTCTTTACGTACAGATGTCACGCAGAAACACCGTTAAATTGCATTCGATAGCGGTCAAAATGGACATTTTCGTTGAAATATGCTGACTGAAACTTTTCGCGATTACAATACTTCCTTTTTACTTCGTACATGAAAGTAAAAAAGGAATCCACGCAGTTTCTCCAGATAAATTTTCAAATTTGTTCATATAATATTGGTATTACATGTCTGCAAGATTAATATTTTGCAGCACATTTTTTTTACATGCGAAACTGGAAGCTTTTAGATTTCATGACATGGATTTAGATTTACCTGGATGTGAAAGATTTTTTTTTCAATATTTTAAAATTTTATTCTGTTAACAATTTATTAAAAAGAAATAGCATCATCTTTTTTCTCGAAACTTTTATTTCAACTCACATATATATGTAATAAAAACAAACTCAGATGCAATGATTAGCAGAAATTTTGAAGGCATACGAGTGTTGATCCATAATGAATAGGAAATTGGAGGCGAAGGCAGATTAAATATTCATTTTTATTTCAGCAAACATGTTGCGGCCACAAACAAGTTGGTACGTTAGATGTGCCTATCCTAAAAAGTTTACATTTCTGATAGATTTGCAGTAAGAAAAGAGGAGCAGATAGACTGCAGTCCAGCTAAGCCAATGCGTAGAAAGCAAGTGCGTTATGTTCAGGATGAAATCTTAATTCAGACTGAGTTAGTTTTTAGTTCTCAATGCATTTTGATTGGATAGTTAATATTACTGTAACATTACAGTCGGCTGCTTGAGTTTTAGTTCCATTTACATCACCAGAATTATGTAAGAATCTCATGACATGGAATTATCTCGAAATGATGCAGCGAAAATACAGGTTACTATTTTTAGAATTGAGAAGGAAAATTTATGTTGCTAATTTAATCTTTTACATATTATTTATTTTTCTTACACACACACACATATATATATATATATATATAAACATACATAGGAAAGGAATTTAAAACCTAGAAAAAGCTGTTAAGAACACTTGAAGTTACCTATCATAAATCCAGAAACACTTTGTAAAATGAGTTACTAAGCATATTACAAATAATGAACTAAAAAACCTATGAAACAATAAGAAAAATATGAAAATATGAGCACTGAAATATTTTGTTAATCTTCTGTGTTCAAAGCTTCAATCAGAATTTGTCAAGGGAAAAGTGTTTTGAAGCGTCAAACCAAGTTGATTAACTAGAGCATGCAGACATGTTTCGTCCGACAAACCCACTGAGACTTCAAACAGCAATAAACGAACACAAAATTCTTTACTAATTTAAACTGAGCATAAGTCTCATCGAATTTGCCTCTTTTCCAAATCATATGTCTGCGTGTTCCAAATCATATAAATTAAAAAAATATTGAGTTAAAAATGCACACAAGGTACTACAAATAAAAACCAAAATTGAAACATAATAAAAATCTGTTACTAAATCTTAATTGACCTAGTATGGCTTATCTAATGACAAGAAGATACAAAAGAATAAAAATATTCAAACAATTCTCAAGTATGAAAATTAAACTTAAGAGTCCATTGTAAAAATAAAATTAAGTAGGACCTACTGCGTGAATGTGTTTGTCTTTTAAAAAAACCGTAAAGGTAAACGACTTGTACAAGTAAAAAAGGGGGTAGCATTTTGTCCAAATGAAAAAGAAATTAAAAACAAAAAAGCATACCTTCCTATTGACTCGAGCTCTGGCTACAATTAAGGGGTGTTGGAAACCCCTATACCAACAATGTTAAATTGGCTAATTTCGATGTACCTTTTCTCAAAATCTACTGTAGATGTACGCTTTTTGTGTAATTAAAATATACCTATCTGATTATATTGAAATGAGCTTTTGAAACCTTTTGAATTTAGAGTAATTTACAGAATATTTTGTTAGGCATACTAAAATTTAGCACTTTTCTCACACAAAATTTTTTTAAAAATTTGTTTTCTTAATTTATCACAAAAAGCTCATTTCAGTAAATATTAGGAAATCTAATAAATAAGCCATAAAAATGTTAGGTACCTGTGAGCAGTAGTTTCTGAGAAAAGGTGCATCGAGTATAAAAAAATCACGTTTGGAGAGAAACGCGTTTTTATGTAAAAATCCTCATTGATCAAAGCAGCAGATGCCAAATTAAAACTATATTTTTTACTGTTCTAATTTTCATAGAGATTAAAAGAATGGTATTTTTAGAAAGATAAAAGTGTAGATAATTTGAAAATGCAACAATCTAAAATCACCATTTTTTGAAGATTTTTGGGTTGCAACACCCCTTAAGCAGTGAAAAATCCAGACGTGAAAATGCTGCCAAATTTCGAATGAAACAAACGAGGGCTGCCAAGAAAATATATCGAATTTCAAAAAGTAAGAAATGCCAGAAGAGTTAAACACTTGACTGAGAATACACCTGAAATTAATCAAAATAGAACGTGTTTCTTGTCTATAATAAAAAAAATCATGTTTGTTTTCAAATCTGTAACGTTAGCAAATGCACTTCGCTTACAGGAAGCAATTGCAGCAGCACATCATATATTTCAATAATAAATGCAGTGGAAGCTGTCATTGTGACAATCTCTAAAACCTATTTTTGAGAACGTGAATAAACATTGATACTGAACATCAACGATATTCATGTTCTTTTAAGCAACCAGCTTCACAAAAGACAAAAATCGTTTAGAGCTGATGGTTCCCTTTTTGGTGGTTTTACTGTAATATGAAGCTTCTACCAGTATTAAGTATGAAACTAACAGTACTAGCAGCATTAAAGTACAACCCAACGGCTCTAGCAGTATTAAAGTTTGAAATGATAAACTTACGCTTTAAATAAAGCTTTACGATTTGCTTAAACCGCCGATATAGTTTATTACGTACTAGATCTGAAAGAATGTTTGGGATTATAAACGCAATTTCTCTTTGTTTGCGATAACAATGACACACGAGCAATGAAAAATATCAATTTCAGCTTGAGAATCAGTTTGAAAAAATCCTCGAAATTCGATTAGGAGTCCTACCCCACCCTTTGTGTTTTTGAGTATATCACTAAAATTTACATCATTTTGACCTATTCATTGAGAGGCATTGAAACCGTTCATTGAACCGTGGATCTTGTATGATCACCATCCCCACTCAAGGACTTTTTATAGTTCCTGAAGATGTTTGTAAGAAAAGAATTTTGGATCTGTTAGCAAAGGGGGAAAAAAGGAACTTACCAATTTCTTTAAGTTTATTGAAGGACTTGAAATTTTCTCCTAAGGAAACAAACTTTAATGAAATTATAAATTTATTTTTTATACATTTTAAAGATTTAGAATTCATATTTGACACGTGGAAATTAATTATGTGATATTTTATTTAAGTTCAAATAATAGTTAGCTTATGTTGATTCCTTTTTATGCCTCGTTTTGTCACGTAATTGCTCAGTCCAGAGAGTTATGCAGATTTTATGGCAAGCAGCTTAGGTTAAAAAGAAAGAAAGAATTTCTTCATTTACTGCTTGTTTACAGAAAAAGAGCTGCTATTCAGAACAGACATGAAAACCTAACGTTGGTACGGCTGATAAGTGCTACAATTTAATTCATCTTTGTCTTATGTGACCGATTTAGTGTTATAGCTTCGCGTTGATTTACCTGAACTATAACCCAGTTTATATACTGTAAAGTTCCAGTAAGCTGCAGCTGTTAAGAAGACTTTAATTCCTACTATATTATTTTATGTTGATTAAACCAATTATGAGGAAATAAAGTATTATGTTACTTTTATCTTAGTATTCTATCTTGTGTTTACTAAGCAAAAGTGATAACTCGCCGACACATAGAGGTAACTGCTAATGGTGAGTAGAGCAGAAGTTGTTAATTAGGTAGTTAGACATATTTAATTATTTAATCTTTACAACCCTTACTTAGTTTAATTTTTATGTTTAGAATTATTTTAGAGCAAAAAAGGCTTTTCATAAGCAACTTTATGAGCTGAAAATTAGTTACGCCATTTTCCTTCGCATAAAATTCAAAATTGTATGATCTTTCTGTTTACTTTAACAGGCTGCGATAGCGGTTTCGGAAATCTCCTTGCAAAGAGATTAGATAGTCGAGGATTTCACGTCTTTGCCAGTTGCCTTTTTCCGAATGGACCAGGAGCCGAGGACTTAAAAAAGAGTTGCTCTAAGCGCCTTCAGGTACTGGAGCTCGATGTAACAAAAGATGAAAGCGTTCAGAATGCTGTGAATTTCGTCAAAGAAAACATTGGATCAGCTGGTAAAGTAAAAGCACTTTTTTGTAATACTCCCCAACATTAAAGTAATAGTAATTCAGGAAAAAAAAAGATGCAAACTGTTTGGTCTGGGATGTTAAACAATCATTTTCTACATGACAGCCTCTAAACACTGAACTCTTAAGTATCGACAGTTAAAGATGGAATTTGTATTAAAATCTGACACCAAACGTAAAAAATTAGGTTTCTTTTAATGAACAGATAAGGCTGAAAATATTCCACCAAATGCAGGAATTTGTTGCAAAGTGAGCCTTCCTTTTACACTAATATAGTTTTCTAACGGTAAAATTCCAAAATTTTAGTTTATTTAATTAAATTTACTAATACAAATTTCTGGATTAAGATTAACAGTAAGCACTATGTTCAAATTAAATTAATATAAAATACTAAATAATATTTTGATTATCATTTACATTTGTATCTGCGAATAAGGAATTATCGTAAGAAGAATGATACGGCAAATTTCGTAACGTGAGACTTCCAAGGCGTAGGGATGTTATAATATCATGCTGTTGACTAATTTTCCCTTTTCCTTACATAGAACGACTTTGCATAAAAGAAATTACGTAAAAGGAAATGGGCTATACCAGATTCGTTGCGCAAAGGTTTGTTTTACATCATCTAGTAATGCCAGCTGCCGTAACGATTGAACAAACACCATGATCTATTCCAGATCAAACATCATGATCTAATCCTGGACAGGAGTGTTGCTTAATTTTACATGAACAGCAATAATCATCAATAATATTATCTCATTGTCCGGTGTTCAGCTGTCTAGACGGAAATTGCCCTTTCGTTTAATTGTTTTTCCTTCTTCTTAAAGAGAATTAGTTTACTTCTTTATTAAGATTCCAAAACTAAAAAGATTTAAGAAATTATCTATGCGTCTTTTCAATATTTTAGAAATTATTAGTTTCTATTAGTTTTAGAGTTATTGAAGTTCCGTTTTTATAAAAGGTTTTGAAAATTAATTGTTTAAGCTATAGAATTTTACATTCTTCTAAAATTCTGATTAAAACTCTTTAGCTTTTCAATCTGAAAATTTTTCTTCAGTTGATTGGAAGAGTTAAATGTTTCTTTCCTCGTATAATTTCGTTTTATTCATAGTTAGTCAAATGCATATTTTAATTTCTTAGAATTATCCTTTGTTTAAAATCTTAAATTTTTGTTATAAGAAAAGTAACTTTAACATAAATATACGACGTGGTTTCCTCAAAAGTGCTGGAAGATTTGATCAGCGTCTATCTTAGCATATTAAAGCTGCAGAGTTTCTGTTCATCATTCTGTATCCTGCTTGAACATTTCTGATAAACATTTTATTTTGAGAATGGATATGGAGCTCTTTATTTTTTCAGCTACCAAAGCGCATATCATTTCATCCAGCACTAGTTTAGTATCTTATAATAAGTAATCTTGAAAGGCAATTAGGTATTTATCGGAGCAGAAAACAAGAACAATCAGCGATGCTCAAGCCAGGATTCGATATCCAGACCTCCCACTATCCCGCTGAACGTGCTTTCAGTTACACTAGAAATGGCACGCTGTAAGGAAGAAGAAAATTATTTACAACCATAATTTTATATTTACTCAGAACGTTTCTAAGAATTTTGCTGCCCTGATTTTTCAGTAGCGTATTTCGCAGCCCAGTAGCCATCTAATTTATTCTAGGCTAATTTTGTTGTTTACAAAGCGTTGTCGTCTTATACAAACATATCTGTTCCGCCTCTGGTAGGCCTATATTTAATTTAAAGGTATTTTAATGCAAACAATTTTCCTTCGAAATACAGAGCATCTTAGCACAGTGTGTAAAAATTTCCGAGAGGGGCAGATAGCTCAAACACGAATCGGAATCATATAATTATGCAGGGTTAGTATTGCTACCGCCATGTGCTAGAGTGCATGTAACATGACAAATGGAAGAACAGCATATAAGTAGATAAAATGTGGTTTATTAATAACGACAGGTATATTAACGAATTGTACAGAGTTTGTTGGAAGTGCGTCTAGAAGTCATGCCTGATATCGTTGGCGCATGGAATCATTAATTTTCTTGAAAATTCCCGACATATCTGAAATGGCCACAACTACAGAGATACATATGAGAGGATCCTGAACGCTGTGCACGTTGAGTATTTCAAACACAGGAAATTTCAGATGAACCCAGAAAATGTAAATAAGGTAGGATAGGTCCGAAGATTGTGCAGGTCAATGAATGGCGCGCCTCATCCAATATACCTATTATACAAATGTCTTAACTTTTGATGAATGTCATCTATGAAATGATGGTATCTTATTCTGTAGGAACAACATTTCGAGGCACATCCACTGCTGGGTCTGTTGTTCATGCAAAAAGGTTATTAAAATTTCCTCCAATGTTCTGTAACTCCTTGTTCAGACGAACAGTTATAAGATATGAGTCTATTAAGTGATCCGCGTTAATGTCGATCCAAACATTTACATTAAACGTGAATTACATTTTCTTGAGATGATGTTCTCTGATCCCCCCTCTAGCCAATGCCATCTAATACGTGAAGACGACGTTTCGGACCTGTACTGCTGTATAATTCCAATTCGTCCTTGAACAACTTACTTTTCCCAGAAATTCATACATGCTGTATTGAAACACTTTGTATATATACACTGTAAAAAAAAATCTGTAAAGTTACTAAGAAAAGTCGTGGAAACTGGGATGCCATGGATTATTTGAGTAATCAAAACCGGAATATTCTTAGTGACTTTACAGAGATTATACCTGTAATGGTTACAGATCTTTGACATGTAATGTTACAGGAAGATATTCTGTAGGCATAACGAAGTTTTTGTATGTTGATTACCGAAGCATGTGTCCGTAAAGGATACAGATCTTTGATCTGTAAAGTTACAGGAAATTATCGTGTAAGTATAACATGGTTTTTATATGAGGTTTACCAATGCATACATCTGTAAAGATTATAGGAAATAATAATGTAAGTAGAACGTCATTTTTGTATGTGGATTACTAAAGGTAACATTTGTAGATTACTAGTGTTCTGCTTGTAAGGTTAT